AGTTTCATAGTGTCATCTGATCAATAATTGTCATACTTAATGATTATGCAAGTACAGATCTATAATTTTATTATACTATTATTTTTGTTCTCATTTGAGGTTAATATTGCTTATAAACCTAGATATGTAAATAATAAATTTTATTATTTTACAAAAAGTTTGGCAACAATGTAAATTTTTCAACACACCCACCTTGATGACGTGCACGCCACTTTGTTTGGCGTTGACTATATGTGTTTATGAGTGTTTGGGTATGTTGCGCATAAGGTTTAATCGAAAATGGAGGATATTGAGGAACAAAGGGGAAGATGGAGATGAGTTTCTGGAGCTGTATAATTGTATTGAGACATATAGATTCAGGGAAGGTCACCCCAACAAATGGGATTAGCGTAAATTTTCCAGCAGGCTTTGCCTCACCAAGAAGCGAGAACAAAATATATTTTGGATCCCAATTACATTGCCACTCAAACAATTGAACTGTTCAAGCAGTCACGCTTCAGTTTTCATTTCATTTCATTTATGGAAATTCACTTCTTGCATTTTATGATGTGTTGGTGTTTTTTCTCCATCTCTACTAACAACGACCCTTCCTTTGAGGAAAATTTGGCGGCTCTATTTTTTGGAATCCATACTTATTTAACTTGATGTCTAGTTGAAAATAATAGCAAAACGAACTAAATATAAAGCTAGACGCTGAGGTCTACTTCTACTCAAATAAAATTGTGAGTTTCCTTTGTTCTTTTTGTCTAAAAACTATAACGTACCTACCAAAAATGAACTTTAGGGGTTTTATTAGGGCCTTTCAAAACACTATGCCTAATATAATACAATCATGGTACAAAGGCTTACAAAATCCATTAGGATCTTGGCATGAGAACCTCACAGCTGGGCATCGACCATTGGGGGACTGAACCTTAAAGCCTTTTCTAAATAAAAGCTTTCTGACAGTATACTTGGCAAACTGCTCTTTCGCATGTTGAATCTATTCATGTGCAATTACGTTATACTCGTACTTATTATTTATATATAATTTTAAAGAATATTTTCACAATATCGCTCTGATAAAACAGTTTCAACACCGGAGGTAGGTGCAACGATTTCGGCAACCCATTGTTGCTAATTTCATAAATAATTAACAAGATAATTAAAGCTGAATGTATGTTGCACGTCTTAGTTGTCATATTTATACGAGGTGAGCAAAACCGTTACTTGCATGCTGTTCAAGCAGATGTCCACACTTAGATATCTTGTATACGTTCACTTACAATTTGTTGTCGTGTACGGACATGTCGTCAAGTATAATCGCAGTTAGTTTGAATTGGAAGTTATGAAACAGACGCAATTCCCATTTGAAGAAAATTGTGTTATCTTCAGGGAAAATGTCACTGTGGTGCGTTTGTCTCATTTTTTCACAGAAACTGATTACCAAATAAGACTCGCGATATAGTAAACATGCGGTTACAAATAGTAAACAGACAATTTTTTGAACCAATAGCCCATATTCGTAAACAAACACGTCGAAACAGGAAAACGATTTTGAACGCTTTGTTTTCTTTTGTGTAATTGGAGTACAGCGGTTTCTTGCAGATTTTGAACAGGTCGTCACACGAGTAAAATATGGCAAAAATAGGAAACGTTTAACCTTAAGTGGATGAGCTATTAGAAGACTTAAAGAAATGTATCTGTTCTATCGAAACAACATGTTGTTGCCAAATCTTCTGCTCATATATGCGCTATTCCCGAAGTCAACATTGAACCAACTGAAGTAGATGACTCGACTAAAACTATTTGAGCGGATGACGGAACTGAAGATTACAGCGAAAGCTACGAAAATGATCGAAATCAAGAACGGAGAAGTTGAAATAATAAAACAGCGTGTTACTATCGAGATGACAACTGAATCTGCGATCAAATCAATTAACAACATAATTCAATGGGCTGAAGAAAATGAAGTGGAATACTGCATAAATTAGTGCACTATATCGCGAATCTACTATATTTCGAAATTCAGTATTCAAAAGATTTGATAATTTGAGCTTTGGCAGTTACACTTTCTTCATGTAACGAATTTCAATTAGTAATTGTAAGCAGATTTATCGATTTTATTTCTTCTACTTTAACGGTTTACGTAAAACCATACCCAAATATTCCGCTTATATCCTTAATATCAGGCCACTAATTATCAAACTGGTAAAGTCAGGAACAAGCAGCATCTATAGTTGCTCTAGAGCGAGATGCTTTATAGTAGTGTAAATATAATTTTCATATATACTCGTACGCTGGAACTACCAGCAAATTCAGGGATATGAAGTTAATCTAGCGTGCATTATAAACAGCTTCAAATAAAATTGCCTGCGGACACAATACAGGAAGGTAGCTAAATGTTTTATGTTGACCAAATCCCAAGAATTGATAACTTGAAGTCAGAAATACAAAACTGCAAAGTTTCTGAAAATCGGTCCAGTGGAGGTGGAGAAAATAGAACTGAAATGAAAAAAAAAATGGTCAAACTCCATTTTGTAAGGTTTCAGAGGCTCCTGATCATGCCAAGAAAAAATATTGTAAGGATTAAGATGGAGGGTTCGCAGTTTTTATTCTGGTCCGTTTTGGCACCTAGTTTTTAAATCGAGGGATGCAAGGCTTTCGGAAATTATATTATAAAATAAATGATGTTTAACATTATAAAGAAACTATAACAAGCTTTTAAAACTTTTCATATTACTTAAATCAATAAGGCGATGGCGGCCTGGGTTTGGCTACTTTCCTCTGCTATTGAACTAAAACTGCAGCTCAACTGAATGACATCATCTGTGTCTAAATTACCTCTTTTGAATATACCTCTATTTAATGTAACTTATCCTGGAGGATTCATGTACAAATCCAAATTCAGTTTATTGGTGTTTCTGTCGTATGGCTTACATATTTAAATATATACGTATCGTCACAAAAATATATTAGAAATTAATATGGTGTTATTAAAATATTCATCCACTAAATATAGTGGAAACAGGTCTTGGATAATATTTTTAAACATTTCACAGGAAGAGCTTTTAACAGCGAGGATATGCTATTATAAAATTTACACCGCAATAACTTGGGTCATCTTGACACCTTCTCAGCCTAAGATACTCAGGATTGAGCGTGTTCTTATTTCTTGTATCGTACGGATGAATTTGCTGAATGGTTTCAAACTCTGACAGGTTGACATTAACATACAGCAAATTCTCTCGCTTTTATATGCAAGGGAAAGTTGAAATATCCCGGATTTTTAAAGCTTTCCTGCAGTCGTCTCTGTAAATAATACCAGAAATTGCTCTAATGGTTTTCCTCTGGAGCCCAATCAGACCATTTGCTGATGGCGCGTGTCCATACACCAACATAAGTTAAGTGGGATTGGAATACCGCGGATTAAGCAGTACGCTTTCGAACGCAGCTTTTCAGATTTCATAGCAAAAAGGGTTAGCAATGTAGACATCCAACTACAATCTAGCATCAAGGTGTACTCAAAGAAATTTAATCGTTCGAGGAATCGATACTTCTACTTGAAAAAGTCAACTTCACTGTCTTGTCTTTATTCGTCACCAGCTTGTTTGCAGTAAACCACCTCATCAGGGTTTCGATGCACCGCCTGTATATTTCTGGATGATTTCTCAAAAATATCTGCAGTGGAAGAAACTGCTACAAAACGCGTGTGTTTAACATCTATCCATAAGTGGAAGGTCATTTATGCATACCAGGAAGAGAATGGGTCCTAAGACTGACCCCTGAGGGACACCTTGCTTCACCCTAATTTTTGCTGAAGGTACCCTAGCAACCTTGACTATTTGAAATATGTCCTGGAGAAACGATTTTAGTATATTGATGCTGTCCTTACTGATACAGTATCCTTCCAATTTCCTAAGGTAGTATAGAATTGTAAATAGTGTCGATAGCTTTGGTCAGATCACAGAATGAGACTGTAGTTATGATTGTGGAAACATTTCAATATCCTGTAGACCAGATTCAGTATTCCCATAGGGCTGTTCCTATTTTCTATTAAGCCATCCTGGCAGTAACTGTTCATAGGACTCCATTGTCTGATCGAATAAATCCGCATATCTTTTAATTTCTGTTTATTTAACGAAGTTCCGGGCACCACGATGACCTTCTTCGAGTACAAGACAATTAGTGACAGTATATTTTTGTTTTTATGCCTGTCTGTTGTCATTTATTTTCTTCATTAATATTCAGTGTGTTGCGGTCTTGTAGCATGTCGAGATCGCGAGAAGCATCAACGCAATTTTAGGGAGAGACGTGGTACATTAAAGACAAATTAAAACATATATGTAGTTTGAATCGGGCGGAAAATGGAGTCCTATATCTATATTTGTCTCACACAGGCTAACTGGCAGGACAAGTTAAATAGAAACTTGTAATAAAAATTTTAGGATTTAATATGGGCAGCGGCGATTGCTGCCTTCATCACGCTTTTGGGGTCGAACTTTTTTTTACACTGAAGGAAGCAGCCGCGAAGGCAAAAGCCTAAATGCCAGGACACCGCGGCTGCTATGAGAATCTCAACGAAATTTTGTTAATCCGACTTTTGAACTGCCCAAGGTCAGTAGACCTGGAAAAAGCTTTCTCTTGTAGATTGGTCCACAATCTCGACATAAGACTGGATGAGTTTACTTCACAATTTCGTGACATAAGCTAAGAGGTTCCCTGTGGATCGCTTGCCGGAAACCATACTGCCTGTCGCTAATCAGGTAGTCCAGAAGCTCGCGATTTATGCACCTCTCCATCACCTTACTTACAACAGAAAGCAGAGGTACAGGCCTATTTTTTGGAATGCCAGTTTGGGAAGGTGCCGGATTCATCAGATATCTGGAAGAGACTCGAAGGAATTGGAGTAAGCTTCGCTGCACACTTCTTCAATACAACCGCAGGAATTAAGTCCAAACCTGAAGCTTTGTTGATGTCGAGCGACAAGAGCACCCGTTTAAGTAAAACGCTGTAGACTTGCTTAGAAACTTTTTTATTAAATACATATAAAATATAACAACAAAAACTTTCAAAAATAGATAAATACAATATCACATGTCTTCAAAGGGGTAAACTGAAAGTCTGGAAAGAAAAACATATAAGTTAAAATTCTCCAACTGTGGTGATCGAAATAATACTGATGCATCTCATTTGAGTACTTTTGAGTAACAAGTTCGGTGGAGCAATTGCGATTTTCGGTAACAAGGATTAATAATAATCAGAACGCATTCCAAACTTTGAAAAACTTACAACGAACACGATCCGCGTTATCTACTAATTTAACTGGTCTATTAGGTATTTCGAACTAGCCTGCAATCAGTGCTTAACGGGACAAATATTTTATTGGTTGTGAAAACTGAAAAAATTTAGCGCCAGTTAGAAAAAAAGTCAAGGCGTTAAGTTTGATTATGAGAATGAACAACAATAAATACTAAGAATAATATTTATTGTAAATTGAAGTTGTTATAAATTACCTACCACCAATTAGAAGCCGGAGCTGTGGTGACCATACTCGTGACCAAAACTCTCGTGATGTTCATGATGATGATGAGGTATATAGATGGGCACCTTCTTCTCTACGTATACAGGATAGGATACCTTCACTGGATATGGTTTCTCAACTGTGACTGGGTATGGCTTGGGCACCTCAACGGGATGGGGTACTAGGTAAGGTACTTTGACTGGAACCTTTACTGGGTACGGTACGTGTTTGTGGACTGTCACTGGGTATGGCTTCTCTACTTCTACTGGGTAGGGTTTGGGAATGTGGACTGGGTACGGTTTGGGAATTTCTACCTTCACAGGGACCTGAAACGACAAACAACGTATACAGGATGATTAAAAATAGTGTTTTTAGTGCAGAGCAGAGAGTAGTTGAATAGTTCAACACTTGCTGACAGATAGCATGATAGAAAATTCCTTTCATCCTTAATTTTAGAAAAGTTCAGTCGAGTAGATTCATTAAATATTTTTAACGCATTGGATGTCAATGAAGCAACTGATAACTGGCCAAACTTAAGAGACTTGGGCGATTCTAAGAACAAATGCTCATATGGTAGGGTAATGATTTGTTTTTGCGATACAGGGTGTCAAACTGTTTCTGAAAATGTGCTTTTCTTCAAATATTGTAGTAACCCTTTGACAAATTTTGTTTAAAGTTAGCGGGTACAGTCTTATCGCCGGGAATTTAACAGAAATTATGTATTTAAGAAAAATGGTTCATGTTGTTTATTATTAACGACAATTTGACGTAGTTGTTTCCTTTTCGAGTTTGAGCTTTTGCTGAATTTATCTTATTTAAAATTCAACGAAACCGCCAGAAGAATATTTGAAATCTTTGCGAAAAAATGATATTTCAAAAAAAGACATTGTAAGCAAATCATTTTGGAAAATACATTTCATAAACGTTATTCATCCCTTGAAGTTCGGCAAGCTATTTCAATAACAACCTTGTAATCAATCTCAGTTTACTTACTAGCCTAAAACTTGGAGAGTACAGAGAACAGTAAAAAATGAGATTCTTTGAACATGACACCCAAAAGCTGTAAAAGTAATGGAGTCTCTCAATGAGCAATATTTTTTCTACAATATTTGGAAATAACTGTGATAACTATAGCCTAGGTAAACCTATTGCAGCTATATCCTTGCTATATCTTAGCAATAATGTCTGTAAGGTGAAAAAACCTACGCCTTTGGAATTTCTCATCAGAATAGTTCTGAGATGTGACAGCAATCTATGAAAATAGGTTGGAAATGTAAAAAAAGTGGCCATACTAAAGATATTGCCCTGCTAGCTACTACACTGCAGCCTAATAATGCAGTAAAAATATAGCTCCCTTACAGGCTCTAATGGGCTAATGAAATTCGTAAGAAAAAATTTGGAAAATACACTTTCAGCCTTTGATTTTATTTGACTGTTCATCAAGATGATCAAATGAACGTTGAATTCTAAATTCTTACTGTGGCAGATGACGGTCATACTCAACAACTATATGCAATACAAAGCTAGCTAAATAATGTAACTAACACTATCGAGTCTTGAAGCTCTCTAGCTATTTTACAGTATCTGAAAGACAGCTACATACATTTTATTGGAAGAAATAGTGGTGTTCCTTACTTTGTATGGGACTGGCACTTTCTTATAAACGGTGTAAGGCACCGGATGTGGTACTGGATAGGGCACTTTCTTCTCAATTTCAATAACGTGTTCATGGCCATAATGCCCGCCATACTCGAAGCTTCCTCCATGGTGGTCGAGGTCAAATAGACCTCGCTTTTTGTGCTGTTTTGATAGAGGAACTTCTTCAGCTGCGGCAGCTACCACCAAACATAGTGCTATCTGATGGTGAAACAGAGTTGAGTCGTTATTTCTCATGGTTTTCATAAAAAAATTTACCCTGGCACACTCAAAGAATTCATTATTACCTGAGTACCGATAGACGTAAAAGCACGAAAAAATGGGCTTTTTGAGATTTCCAGCGGAATGCGTTTTAAATACCGTGTTTACCCTTTTTGATTTTCGGTTGTTTTTAATTATCTTATTCCACTTTCTATGTGCACAATTACTTAGGTTTATAATATGTCAGTAGATATCATTAAATTTGTGTACTTTACGGTACCGCGTCGCGTCGTTACTGATATACAGTGCATTCGACTTCATTATTTTAAATTTATATATGTATTTTTTAATTTCTCTTGAACTTCTCAATTGATTTTGATGAAGCGTAGAACTGACGGTAGACCTTAAGGGACTTAATCTGTATTGGTTATATTTTATACAACTTAATTAATCCAGGTGCGGAGCTATAAAATATTAATAGGATATTTTTCTCGGATTAACTAGGTGTGCCTTTGGCTTCTTTGTTGTGCGGTTAAGGGACCTAACGGCGAAAACATATTTTCTCCCGTTTGTAACCAAAACGAGTTTGCAATTTGAAAAATTCTGGAAATTAAAATCTGCCAGAATTACTAGGAAGTTAGGAAACAAGTTCAAGAACCGCTCTCTGCATCGATTTTCTAAAACAAAGCAACAATCTACAGAATGATGCTCAATCGATAGCAGCCATATTATAGAATTTACCTTGAAAATATCGCGCTTTTTACAGTCTGCCACTTCTGGACCTACGGTATATATTGTCACAGGAAATTCAATTTTGACAGTTTGTAAGTCACTTATTTTTGTAGATGGAGTAGTAAAATTTTCGCCCAAGTGTTGCTTGTCATTTGAGCGAAAACCTTCCAAAAATATGATACCAAAATAAAGATCACAAAAAGGATAACCCAAAGCCGTGAGAAAATACATGGTCCTCCATTTGAATTTGAGGTAAATTACAATTTGCTTTTATAGACACTCTGTATAGAAAATGCTCAAATCAAGATGAACATTGGGACATAAAGCTCGTTATCTGTCAAAGTAGCAATCTGAACTTCTCCTAAAGGAACTTCATATATATATATATGGTATATTATTAAGAACCGTGCAGCGAGCTCTGACAATCCGTGCTTAAAGAAACGTACAATATGAATGAGCGAATGACCTGGATTTTCATAATTTAATATCTTAATGTTTGCAAAAGCATCAGGCCCATAAGCGTGGCTTTCGGCCCCGAAAATAAGTCAAATCTCTGACTAGAATTTCCTTATCTTTGGATATTTAATTTAGTGTTTTTGTATGAACACAATGATTCGACACTTTTTACCTCAAATCATTAAATAAAACACACTTTAACTCAAAAGAGTCTCATTATAATTATTATGTTCTGATTTGTTCCAAATTTTGTTCTTATTGTTAGCGCAGTTGAACAACTATTTCTGTATATGTTCTTGACTGATTTTGACCAAAGATGCCAAAAATTTGAACTTTGGACTTCAAAAGCAAAGTAGTAGTGGTGGGGAGGCGAAGACTACAAACTGGGACACCTTTGACCATTTTTGGCGACCCCCGTAGCACCAACTCTACTATCATAAGCCATCTACTGGTAACTATTACTAATTATTGAATAGACCAGCTCCAGCGATAAGAGTACCTATCATTAACCTTGCTCCAATCTGGTGCGTGAATCAAACATTAAAATAAAAGGCAAAACAATGCTAAACATTTTAGACTCACTGCTATTTGAACGCAAAAAATTCTCAAATTTGAGTCAATTTTCAGTGCCGATAATCTCACCTATACCTGATTCTTAGACTCACGCAATAGGCGCGTGAGAAATGAAAGGTAGTGCATGATTAATTGTAGTACCTATCTAGTTGCATTACCTTACTTCTTAATGTGGTGATAATTATACATAAAGAAATCGTAATACTTACAAAGTATTTCATGATTATCCTCGAACAACTACTGAGCGACTTATGCCGCATCCATTTTTTCGAACGGGTATATATACTATTGCTTTCCATTTCCAACCCTCGCGATCTGTGGAGTGGAAAAGTGTAAAATTCCCACATGTAGGTCGATTGCAGCTGCTAATTTATTTATTATTGTTACTCAAACGGCGCTCGAAATAATGCAAAAGTGGTGGAAAATGTAATATGCTCCGTGCATGTGTTAGTTCGTGTAATTAGCATCAGACTTCCTCTTAGGTCAGATATTTGTTAATCATCGATACAGTGTCGATGATCATTAACGCTGGTTGAGCTGGTTCAGAATAGGGTTGTGGCGAATGCAGATTTTTCGACATCCGCGGAGTGGAACCAGATTTGTGACAGCTCACATCCGCATATGCAAACGCAAATAATGTCTAGCTTGTTATTTAAAACAAAGATGGTGTCAAGTAGGTTAACTCTGCTTTCTACGCAATGCTGCCATCAGTTCATAAAGGATTATATTCGGTGCAAGTTAGTCCATCTTATAAAAGATTGCTATGAACATGTATAAAAAAGGGATTAAATGGATCATGTCAGTCGAACAGGGCCATACAATTAGTCCATAGCCTCCACCGCCACAGGACCGATTTTCAAAGACTGTAAAGAATTTTCGCCCTAAGCAAAATAGTTACCTTGTGTTAATAAATTTTCAAAATCCGAGTGGTACTACTCAAGTTCTAGACGGACCAAAGACTAGCGGAAAGACAGACAGACAAACCGATAGAACGACACATAGATATATGTCACATGGTTTTTAGTGATGTACGTGTCATATAACATCCAAAAACAATATCAAAATTAATTAAATTAGAATGAAAACATTTATTTAATATTCCTCTTGAGTAACTAAACATTTTCGTACCGGCGGGGCGTTGGCGATCTAGCTGTCGTCTATCGCTACACCAACAGGCTTTGCTCTTCAGAGCTCTCCTCCGTGATGCCACCGCGCGATGTGTCTGCTCGCGAGACCCGACTGACTTCAGCCTCTCAATCTGACCGTACATCCAGAACTGACCGCTCCGTTGTCCCGAGGCTGTCGAGACTGTGGAACAATCTACAAGAGGAGGCTGTTCCCAGTTCCACTAAGCTCAGGCAGTTCAAAAATCGGATTAACAAAATTTCTTTGGGATCCTCATACCAGCCTCCTGACATTTAGGCTTCCGCCTGCGCGGCTGCTTCGATGTAAAATAAAAAAAAATGTGTAGTGCGAATTTATGACAGTGTTCTGAGTCGTTAACATTTTGCCTCTGTGCTGCCAGAGTCCCCTGAAGCTGTCGGCAGCTAGTAGAAGCTAGATGCTGTCAGTGGCGAGCTATACATTTTTATCTTATGAGTGATGTTCATTCTCGTTATATACTCTATGGAAATAATAAAATTGTATGGTATCTTGCGGTCTAATCATTCATAGAGAACAAGTAACATCACGGGGTGACCAAAAATCAATATTTCATTATGCTAATACGGCTAGTCATTTGCTACTCAACTAAGATGGTTCTAAGGGCCGCGTCAGTCGTTCCTATAACTGTAGGACCCCTTTATGGTCTCCCTGATTTTCATAGTATTTCCTTCAGAATCTTGAATCGTATGAAATTTCAGGCTATATAAGAGATAATGTAAATCAAAAGTATGAACGATTTGATGCAAATAGATATTTGTAACATAACCTCAAAATAGAGCGCTGATATGAAAGGGCTTACAATTGTAGACGCCCTTATGGACTTCTTGATTTTCATAGTTTTCTACCCTTCCATGTCAGCTCTTAATTTTGAGGTTATGTTTCAAGTCTATTTGTATCAAATTGTTCCTGATTTTGATTTATATCATCTGTTATAAAGCCTGAATTTGCCTACAATTAGAAAAAAAAAACAATAACCTGACAGTATGCGAGCGCTGACTCTGACACGGAACAGTAGAAATTTAAAAATATCCCAGCCTCTCTGAAGGAGAGGAAAAACTATGAAAAACAAGGAGGCCATAAAGTAGGAATGACTGACGATACGGCCCTAAATTCTTACTATTGTTAAAGTTAAAACTAGCGGGCTATATTCAATATAAATTATAAATTAATTTATACTCGCCCGACTGAACGGTTCTTCACTTAAACACTGGCTGGTAATGTCGATAAATATTTGCGGGCTATTAGTGATGTATTTTCAACTTTTCTCGATAAACGTGCGAATATTAAAGTAAATTTTCAGAAGTTACGTCACAAGGGCGTATAATTTTTCCGAAAAAAATCGAAAAAATACGTTGTTAAGTAATATTCGTGCAGGTGCCACCAGCACTCATGCTTCTTGTTAAAATATTACTTAGCAACGTATTTTTTCGATTTTTTTGACAGGAAAATATTAGATGACCAAAAGGTATTTGACAATACTATTTTTTTTTTATATCGAAACAGCCGCGCAGGCAGAAGCCTAAATGTCGGAACACCGCGGCTGGTATGATGATCCCAACGAAATTTTGTTAATACGATTTTTAAACTGCCTAAGGTTAGTAGAACTGGGAAAAGCTTCCTCCCGTAGATTGTTCCACAGTCTAGACACTCTCGGGACAAAGGAGCGGTCGTATCGGCAGTAACAGATTATCTGGTGACCTAGGAGACCATAATTACTTGTTGTCAAGGGGATTATAATTTTTGATGACAACAGCTGTCAAGTTTTGCCGTGGGTAAACTCAAAAAAACTGCTGACAGGTGCTGTCATACAATGTTTCCATCTATAAACTATTTGACAGTCAAAATTGCGCGTTTGTGATTGATAGAAATTAAGACGAGGAAAATAGTCATGTATATTAAGGCAGCAATTCTTTTCTGAGTGCATCGACACTTCGCGACTAGTCGTACTATATCCGCATCCGCATGAACATCACCATTAATTTCCGTGGATGTGGATGCAAATTTGCACAATATCCATAGTACAGAAAAATTTCGATTGAACTTGTCTATTTGCAGGCTCATCGATTCAATTACGGAACTCCATTGAAGCTTAAGGTTGAGTTAAAAAATACCGCTAGTGTGACACTTCATCTTTTCAATTTTGCACTTTTTGTTTCTCTTTTTGTATGTAAAGCTAAATAAAGGCACATTACTATTATTATTATAGGGTATTGTTTGTCAACAAAGCATATCAACATCTGTTGTTAATTTTGCTAACCCGTACGCCCATGTACGGACGGGGCAAATTGGCTGTTAGGTAATACATGCGAAATCAGAGAGGGAGTATCAGATAAACTGCAGTACGTTATCTTTTTTCCTTTTGCGAAGCCTTTCTTCCTGATTTGCATAAGTGTTGTACACATATACAGAGTTATTCACAAAACAGTGACAATATTTCTCCGGCATAAAGTATATCCAAAGGTATAAGCGCGGGTTCTCAGACGCCCGTTTAGAAATGTTACCGCTGACTTTGGAATCACCCTGTATATTTGTCATCGATATGTGATGACTGATTCATAATATGTATTACGTTTATGTTTAATACCAATGATTTGCAGGTCTATGTGGAAAATAACAAAGTTTCAATTCTGGGGATTTTCAATTCTTTACTCTGCGCGTAGTTTTGTTTTTGAGTTGCATAACAAACTCGCACGCACTTTCAAGGTTTGGTTCGCCACTCTTCTTAGAGAAAGAAGGATAGCGTCGAGTGGATCACTTCACCTCCCACGCATCCCTATACGTAAATTTTCAAAAATTCTCACGAGATGTTAATGTGAATTGAGTGAATCATTCATATGCGTTTACACGTATCTCACGAAATGAGACGAAATTCAGAATCTAAAATTATCACAAACTTGAAAACAATAAAAAATTGAGTGAAGCAAAATCTTCAAAACATTATAAAACATACAAAAAAGTTTTGGCTCTGCGGCCATTTCACCCACTTTCAGAGACGAATCAGCATTACCTATGATCCCACAGGATATCTCTTTCCAAATTTCATCAAAATCTCTTCTGAGATTACTTGGTTAGAAGGGGGTCAACAGACAGACCGACGGAAATAAGTGACATACATTTCGTTAAGAAACATCCAAAGACCGTGTTAGTTGAAATTTTAAAAGTTTCGTGATTACAAAATTTCCCTCGCTTATGCATGTGAAGTACAAATGGATACAAGTATAAAGGGTAAGATCACAGGGCTATAAACGCTAAATAAATCTTGACAGCCTGCCACTATTCTGAAGGTTAGTGATTTTATATTCTTGTAAAGTAATCAAAAGTAGCTTCAACACAAAGTATCTCATGATCCTTGATCCCATTTAATACTTAACGGTTGGATTTCAACTCGCCGAGGGTGAAAGTGGCAAGACTGATCATAGGCACAAAATATTGCACCTTCGGAATAAAAATCGATGGGTTTAACCGAAACAAGTGACGGCACTACTTGAAATTCCAGACCAAATATATAGTGCGCAATTTCTGGTAGGGTCTCCACCTTCAAACATAAAGACCGAATTTTTGGAGGATATATGTGAAACCATTAAAAATCAATATTTTTGCAAATAAAAAGGCTCAAAACTAGCCGCGTAATTAACCAAAAAACGCAATTCAAGCTATGTTAAAAACTACCTAATTATTTTGGTATTGTCAACAAAATTTCAGTTTTTGTGTTAGTAAAGGATTGTCGGAAAATAAAAACAAATTCCTATTGACATTCTTTTTATCAATATTCGTTCCTTGATAGATATAAAGAATACTGTGCGGAGTTGCCAAATTGTGCATTCCAAGAAGTATGAGGTTATTTAGGAATCAATTCGTTCACAGTTCATGAAAATCACGTAAAATTGAATATGGGCTTATATAGTTTTCCATTATTTCTTAAAAACTAGATCAATGTTAAACGCACTAGCGGTGAACTTAAGTGCACCGCGACTTGAGTGAAGGGAAAATCTCTACGGTTAATGAATTTTTTTGTAACTAGTTTTTCCCGTATTTACTGGACTTAGATCAAACCCCGAACAGATTAGGGCTAAACA